TTTAATATTTTCCTAGTGACACTTATATATAATTCAGCAGAGGTATATTATGCTTTGTATGTAATGCAAGGATAAAACACGCCTTGGGAGAAAAACAAATAAAAAACTCTTTTGTGTTTTTTTTTTTTTTTTTTTTTTTTTTTTTTTTTTTTTTTTAAATTATTCCCTCTACCCATGTATCTTATATGAACATAGTTGTACTTCCCGCAACATTTGTACTCCATTATGTATTATGCACATGGTAACCAGATCTTCTGTAACACTTTCTTCTTTTCTAACCGTTGCGCGATTCCTACACGACGTGCATAGGAGAGTATATTGTATACTGTGAAGCAGCCCGCGTGACAAAGCATAAAACAACATATTTGTGTGAAGGAGTAGAGAAAAGGAAGTCTCTTCACCCACACCCATCCACACGTAGTACCATCACAGAAGGGAAGAAGACTGTAGAAGCACTGTGTGTGTTCCGGGGGCCCCATCACAGTCAACGCGCTGACAACACTTGCTCAAGGCAATAAAAAAAAATAATATAAATAAAAGTAACATTTTTAAGGGTTATTAATTTTTTCCCTTTCCTCCACCTTTTTTTTCCCCTTTCCCTGTTTTCGTAAAAAAGGTATGAATTCCAGGAGCAAACAAAACGGTTCAAAGAGCACGGAGCTAAAGGAAGGAACCGACAGTCAAAAAAAAAAAGAGCAAGATGGAGTGAGCACCTCTCGGAAGCAGGTGGTTCACCCTGTTGCGGGGGGTGTCGTTGGACAGAAGGAGGGTTCGGGACGTGCAGATCAGCCCAATGTAGGCGCGGTAAAGTCCAATGTGGACGCGGCACAGTCCAATGTAGAGATGGCCAAAGTAAATGAGGAGGGGCAAACCCCGGCCGGGTACAACCACGACGCCACGGAGAGCATTGAAAATCTGTGCAAGGAGTTCGACCTGCAGGATATAAATTTAGGCCTCACCAATGAGCAAGTAAAAATAAACAGAGAAAAATTTGGTGAAAATTATATTGAAAAGGATGACGCAGTACCAGTATGGTTAATTTTCCTGTCCCAGTATTACAGCCCTGTAGTGATGTTACTGCTCGTTGCAGCCATGGCCAGTTTAGTCCTGAACGAAATTGTAGAAGGAGTTGCCATCATTAGTATTGTTACGCTGAATGCCTGTTTAGCTACTTATATGGAAAAGTCCTCCGGTGACGCTATTGCAAAATTAGCAGAAATGGCATCCCCTCAATGTACTGTTGTACGAAATGGGCATAAAATTGTTATTCCCTCGAGGGAAGTAGTGGTTGGTGATGTGGTCCTGATCAACACAGGAGACTCCATCTCAGCTGACTTAAGATTAATTGAAGTTATTGAATTGAAAACAAATGAAAGTTTATTAACAGGAGAATCTGAAGATATAAAAAAGACTTTAACTCCAGATGATTATACCACCCCTTTTGCAACGAACTTATGTTTCGCCACCACATCTGTTACGAACGGTTCAGGGAAAGGAATAGTTACTGCAACTGGGTTAAATACCCAGGTAGGAAAAATCGCTTCTCAATTGAAAAGGTCTAGTAAGGGCAGCAAATTGACTCCTCTTCAAGTAGCATTAAATAAGCTAGGAGGTCTTATAGGTCTTATTGCCATCATCGTGTTGGTGTTTATAATATCCTTGGCTGTACTCATAGACTATAGAGATCCCGCACATGCAGATAAAGACCCCATTCTTGTAATCATTATAATTGGAGTCGGTTTTGCAGTTTCATCTGTTCCTGAAGGATTACCCATGGTTGTCACCATAACCCTTTCTGCTGGGGCGAAGGATATGGTTCGAAAAAATGCCAATGTGCGTAAATTACCAGCTGTGGAAACGCTAGGATGCTGTTCAGTCATTTGCTCAGACAAAACAGGAACTCTTACTGAAGGAAAAATGACGGCCATTAACGCTGTAACATTTGCAAAGAATTCAAATCTAAGTGATAAGAATAATAAGCTGACTAAGACGTTCGACTTTTATCCTACAAAAGGGTTCGAACCTTATGGGGGGTTATTTGATTCAAGTACATTAACAAATGAATTAAAAAAGAAAATTGTGATAGCGAAGAATCAAAGCATATCTTATGATTCCATTTTGCCAAATTATGGAAATCCTGAAAATGATTCCATAGATGTGAAAAAGACAAGGTCCCTCATGTTTGCTGCTTACCTAAACTCGTATGATACTACCCTGGCCAGAGATCCTAAAACTTCCAAGTGGACCATACATGGAAACATGAGTGAAGGACCCATAGTAGTAGCTGCAGCCAAGGTCGGCTATAGTTCTCTTACAAACGAAAATCACCATTCTTATGTCAAGCAGTATACACGATTGGATGATTTAGAAGTCACTTTTAACTCTTCCAGGAAAATGAAAATTACAGTTTATAAATTAAAGAACGATGATATGTTTGAGTATATTCATTTGAACAGACCAGGCAAGAGGTTCACACACATCGCCCTCATCAAGGGTGCCCCAGATAAGTTACTCGATAGAAGCACCCACTTGTTAGAAGAATCTCCCAGGGGACCACAAATCTCGTGGAATGACAAAATTAATGAAAAGGATAAGGAAATTTTAGCTCAAAAAAATTTAGAATTGTCTCAGAAGGCTTTAAGAGTCCTAGCTGTTTGCATTAAACCTTTAACCATGGAACACATATCCTTGTTGAAAAAATTAGATGATGCTGATGAGCGATTAAAATTTATCACCACTGATGAAGATAGCGGATTCATCCCGTTAGGATATGTCGCTGCGTTCGACCCACCCAGACCAGGAGTGAAGGAAGCGATTGAAACGTGTAGAGATGCACAAGTGAAAGTCATCATGATAACGGGTGACCAGAAACCTACAGCCATTGCAATTGGAAAGCTCATTGGGTTAATAGGAGGGGACGAAAATGCGGAAGAAGCGGAAGCCCAGGCTATCGAATGCTCCGAGTTGCATATTAACAAGAACCCAAATGAACCCGTACTTCCAGAAGACCAATTAGATGCATTCACAGATAAGATCTTGATTTATTCAAGGGCCCAACCGGAGGACAAAATTACTATCGTACAGTCGCTCAAGAGGAAAGGGTACTTAGTTGCAATGACAGGAGATGGAGTGAACGACGCACCAGCTTTGAAAGCAGCAGATATAGGAGTAGCCATGGGAATAAATGGAACGGAGGTAGCCAAAGGAGCATCTGAAATGATTCTAATTGATGACAACTTTTGTACAGTTGTTAGCGCGATAGATGTAGGAAGAACCATCTTTTCTAATATACAAAAATTTGTTTGCTTCTTATTGGGTACGAACATTGGAGAAATACTTTACCTCTCCATAGCCATCGCAGCACAGATGCCCTTCCCATTAGAAGCACTTCAAATATTGTTCCTGAACTTAATGACAGATGGGTGTCCAGCAGTAGCCCTATCGAGGGAGCCACCTAACCACGATAATATGAAAACACCTCCCAGGCCAAAGAAGCAGCCAATAATGACTAAGAAGTGGTGGTTCTATGGAATCATTCCGCATACGATTTTTGAAGCATTATGTGTGCTCCTCTCCTTAGCATTTTCACTCTACATTTGTACAGGCAGTTATAACCTAAATGATATACACAATTCTTGTCGCACGGTTATCCTCCCTGATGCAACAGACGTAAACATCACACATGAGTACAAATATTTTTGTAGTACGTATGAGTATAGAGTATCACCAGAATATATGGGATGGGTTACCAATGTAAGCTTTTGGCACCCTCAGGAGAAAAAAACGGTTACATTTTGGGGAGCTGCAAAAGGCAAAGTAGAAAATATAACTCCAACGTCGAGGGAAATACATCCGGACATACGAACCATCATGCAGTATGGTTGTTCAGATGATGTAGAAAAGGATCAGTATGGATGGTGTAAACCGAAGAAGAATACTTATGTTAAGGGGAAAGATGAACAAATTGCTGGTGTGTTTAGAAAAAATTTTGAAGATGTTGCTTCTAAAGGATCCAAGAGAGGTAGAACCATGGCATTTATTTCTGCTGTCTGGTGTGAAATGTTAAGAGCCTATACGGTGCGAAGTTGGGAACCCTTTTACAAAGTCTTTAATAGAAATATGTGGATGCATCTGGCTTGTAGCATTTCTGCCACCTTGACATTTTTGTCCACGTGTATTCCTGGAATCACCTCCGTCCTGAACACGACCTGCTTGCTCTGGTGGCAATACCTATTGGGAATTTCATGGGCTCTCCTCAATATGCTCCTCGATGAGGTGGTGCCCAAGGTCATCTACCGAAGGAAATACATGTCGGTGAAGAAGTGATGCGGCGGAGAGCAACCACGCGGCGGAGAGCAATCACGCGGCATATTTTTTTTTTTATATATTTTGTTTCCCACTTATCAATTTGTTGGCGCCATCATGAACAGTAGCGCTGTTCATCACAGTTTGGGTATTCATTATACATGCATCGTTCCACCGCTTAGCCCGTCCACTTACATATTACCTATTGCTTCTTGCATACTATCCATTTTCTACTTTTTTTCTTCCCGCGGCGCACTTGCGCGGAGAGGCGTCCTGCTCAGACAGCAGCACCCATTTGGAGCACAGCGCGCTCCTCGCCGTGCACGTACTATACCAAGGCGGGCAACTTTTCTCGCCATAACATGATGACACTATCTCACTTGGGCATTCTACATATGTATGCGTCTGCATATATGTGTGTACATAATATGCATATATAAATACTGCGTAAACACCACGCACTTTCTACACCTGTTTGCACAACTTAAGTACCACTCCCCCATTTGTATATATGCCTTTTTTTTTTTTTTTTTTTTTTTTGCGTATTTGATCCGTTCCCTGGCATGTTTGCCTTGTACACACACAGCAGGCTTGGCTTGCACACGCTTAGTAACCATGCGCCTCTTTAAGAAGAAAAAAAAAGAAAAGAAAAGAAAAGCGCACATACAATTCCGATTTCTCTCTCTATATATACATATATTTATGCAAATTCATATACATATATTTTTTTTTTGTTAATTTTGTATGCAATTTTTCTCAGCAATTCTTATAAAATCTGGTCCTCTTTTGAAGTAAAATTTTCTTTTAAAAAGAAAAAAAAAAAAAAAAAAAAAAAACTATTCTATTCCGTCACTGCCTTTCTTACTATGCTTTACCAACTCGTATCGAACTTTGTTAATCCTTTTTGACAAATTATTATTGTCGGTGGGGAGGAAGGAGCGGCAATTGCTACGACTGTCCCAGTCCCTTCCCGTTTTGCGGCATACCCCGCACACATATCCAGCTACCATCGCATTAAATTCGTGTTGCACAATTTTGTACACTATGCTTCAACAGCAGCAGTAACATATAATAGGCTTATGTACACCTTTCATGTACGCGCCTTTACGTACAATACAAGACATAATACTCGCGCCCACACGCCTGTGCATATACACACAACGTATATACATGCGGCGTGTTCGCCCTTGATTAAACATTTAAAGTACATTTGGCTCATATTCTTTTCCTTAAAATCAAAAAAAAAAAAAAA